ACTGGTCGACTTATTTCATATGCATATCAAAATTTTATGTTTTTTTTTTCTAGAGAAGCGAGTCTCCAGATTTTTACATAATCGGGATGAGCGCGACTAGTTAGGTTATACAGCGGAAAGATCTCGTCGGTGTTCCGACGTTTTTTGGATCCGGATTCACCACTATAGGTTTTCACGATATCTCACACTATATGGAATATATAGGGATCAAACATACTGTGTTCACTTTTCTTCCGGTAGAAGAACAGAGAGAAAGAAGGTTGTGTATGAAGAAGTTAAATTGAAAAGGAGAAAGAATTGCATCTTGGAGTGGGGTGTCAAGACTTATTTGCCAATTAATTTCTTCCTAAATTAATTTCTTCTTATTTCTACAGCTTTGAGCTGACAATGAACATTTAGGGCTTTTCTTGTAAATTCTATAACTTTGTAAAGAAAGGTCGTGTAGAGCTGGGAGACGTCTCACTTTAATCAGAAATGTGCGGGCTATAATTATGCCTCATTATGAAAGGTTTTGATTATTTTTTAGAATTTCTCAAAAACTGGTTTTGCAGAAAACCGAGACTTCAAGAGCCATGGGCTAAAATCCTTTTAGGCTTTTTACCAGCTCGATGTGCTCTATAAAACGAGGTATGAATGAAGGAAATCGGAGTTGGGCAAAAGGGGCGGTTCCCTCGTTGGAGGGATTGGGTGACTTTCATTGAAAAAAACTTTCATTAAACCGTTTTTTTCTAATGACAGTATCGGAACTTTCATTAAAATGTCTCCTGCAAAATGGTTGTGACCTGAAGTTTTCGATGGCGCAGGAATTTCATTAAAAATTTTAATGAACTTTCTTTTAATGAAAGTCTTTTAAATGAAAACGTTTTAATGAAACTCCGATATCTCACTTAGAGATATGTCCATACTTCACGAGAGTCTTGCTCTTGAGACATATTGCTGCACCAGAAATGCAAGCCACACAAAACACAAAGACGGTCCAGCATTACCCGTACCATGCTACACGACATTTGCATATACACAACAATTGAGCCTCTAAAAAATTAAACTATGCACCATTGAACTACTTAGAAAATCGATCATAAGCTCATAAACATATCGCGGCGATATAACTTTCGAAAATCTCAATTAGTGAATCGTCAAATCAGCTTCACAGCCATTCCGCGTAATGGTCAACCAAATGTCTGTGCGTTACCATTTTGTCGTTTTGTTCCACTTAGAGAATTTACAGCAAACGTTGTGAAAAAGCTGTTTGTAGCTAGGAATGTGTTCGTCAAAGTCCATACGAATCTCAATGTAAAATATTGAGCTATCTTTCGGATACTATCAAATTTCTAATAGCCCCATTACGCTGGAAATTGGATTAGGGCTGTTGAAAAAATCACTATAGCAGAAAACCGGTCATATACTTTGAAATGAGTCCCGATCAGATTTCGTCGAGCACACTCTTAGCTACAAAATGAGACATCTCTCAACTCTCCACGTTCTCTCATTCAAATATTATAAGATCAACAAAACGAGTAAAAAGTAACTGACAGACACATTACGCAGAATGGCTGTTCACATTTTCTTTTACTTCTTTGAGCAGAAGATTTGTGTCTGCGCTGCAGTACATTTATATTCAGGTTTTTACATTTTGAACAAAAACCGACATTTTCTCAAGAACGTCACTAATTTTTACTCCCTTATAAAATCGTCTTCTGCCTTCACTATTCATCTACAATAAACATTGGTGCAAAGAGGTTTGCTGATTTCATTGAAACATTACTACTTAATACCACTATCGTGCATAAATATAATAATTTACTAATGACATATGATTGCGCTATGTTAAGTAAATATTGAAATTCTAACAATGATAATACATGCATAACATTATGTGAAAAAAAATCAGCATTGTTTTTGACGAAAGAAATATACATGATTTGACTATGCAAAGGTAAAATATTGGATAATAAATGTATTTGCGAAGAAAAGACGACAGAATTTTATTAAAGAGAATTCCAACTGAGATGAAAATATGTATATAACAGGATTTTACATGCGGCATATAATGTTTTAAATTTATGCACCAAACTTCATGACCTGGTTTAATTCAACTACAGGTAACAAACAAGAAGATTTTCAATAGAGTCTAATTTCATATTTTTAGCAGTAGAAAATACGTCGTTAAACCACTTTCTTGACCACGTTCCATAGGAAAAAATTTTCGTTGACATTCAGAAGTTTACGAAACTTCCGCTCCTATCCACAGTCTTCCTACCCGCTATTAGGCATATCACACATAATTTTTCAACACGCTAATTATTCAGGATTTTTTCTTGACAGATTTTTCTGGATGTTACCGGGGATTTTTCAAACTTCCGTCAATTGCATATCGTGGGATTTTTTACTATGCTAACCCAGTGGAATTTTTTTCTCCTGTCATCGCATGGATCGTATCACTACTCTGATTTAACAGGCTTGTAGAATTTAATTCTGAAAAAGAAACAGTGGCCTGTACGAAAATTTGTCACAGAATCGACATAGAAGTGAATATAGACAATAAAGGACGGCAAACGGTCTTTCTATGGCTCAATATAATTTCAGGGAAAATAACTGGAAATGCTTTCCTTTTCATTTTCCAACATTTCTGACTTTCAAAAATTAACGAATAGGATACTAGGAAAATCTACAAAAAGCAGTAGAAATGTCTTTGGAGCTTTTTGTAAATATCATGCAGCTTGATGAAAAGATGTTGTGGAGAGCTTGAAGAAGTCTTATTTTCCTGAGAAACGTCTGCGCTATTTAACTGAACTAATACTACCCTATAGAAGTAAGAATATCTGAAAGTAGGACTTTGCGTTTTGTCGAAATCCTGGTTTTTCAACATTTTGAGGAAACTCTTGTATACGCCTTGGCGGATAGAAAAATGTTTCAGCAAAGCATTCTTTAGTATTCTTTTAGCTGGCCTGGTTGACAAAAAAGAAAAAGCTCAAACTTTTTTGTCACGTACTTTAAGCAAAACAATTGTTATAAGATGTAATGATGCTATTTAGTATAGAAATGTATGAAGGCGTACGTTTACTAGAATTTAATGCATTTCAGTTTGAAGCTCGTTATTTCCTGCATTTTCTTATCTGAGAGTCATTCCCGATCTCGCCATATTTACAGCACTGTCGTTCGTCCACTGTTCTGTCATAGGTCAAAACCACTGTATTTGTTCAGTATTTTTCCCATAAGTCTCTTAAACTTAAGGTTTGAAACAACGCAGTAGAGCTTATTTTGTATCTCTCTCAATTCTGCATTTTCTAAATACAAACTATTCCTAATTCCTATTTGTGAAAGAAACTGTAATCATTTTTATATACCACGATGGTTAAAAATCGAGATATCTATGCAGTATTTAGCCAACAAATCTATGAGGACAAACTTTTAAAATAAATATTATAGGTCATTTTGAAGCCCAGAAAATTCTCCATCTTTCGATGTTTGGGCTTTAGTCGAGGTCTTTGAAGTCGTACGAACAATTTGAGGAACAAGATGAATGGCTTTAGTTGAACTAGTGACGAAAAATGATAAAAAAGAGTTCTTTCAAGGAGATCAGGAGCAATTTTTGAAAGTCAGAAGTGTTGAAAAATGAAAAGGAAAGCATTTCTGGTCATTTTCACTCAAAATCATATCGGGCCATTTCCACACAGAAGGGCCGTTTCCCGCCCTTTATTGTTTGGGATGAAAAGCAACCAAGAAAATGATAAAATTGGGTACAAAAGCTAAGAAAATTCAACAATATTTGGGCGTCGAAGAAAAAAGCACTCATTTTCATTTGTATAAAATCCACTTTTTTTCTTGTTGATTCTGGTTGATATAAATAACATCAGATAAAAACATAAATAAAATCACTTTTATTTAGTTCACTGTAAATTATCTTTTTATTTGTGTAAACATCATTTTCACATACTAAAAAGTCGTCTTATGTTTAAAATGAGAAAAATCGTCTTCTTTCAACAGATAAAATTCAATAGAATCGTATAGAGAAAACGCTGCGAATTGTGTGTTAGAACATACGGGGATATTTCTTACCTTTACGAAGGACTTTTTTCATGTTATTATATCGAATACGGAATCCTTTTTTTCACCAACCATCGAGGCTGATGTATCAGTTTCACTCTGTGAATAAATATCAAAAATTTTTAGCAACTGCAACAAATCAATGTGGGCACAATGTCGTCATATTTTACATTTCTCTTGCCGTTCACACGTTAGCGATCGTTTCATTTATACTTTTAATCAGTCATGCCATTGTCTCTCGTCATCGATCGAACGTTAAATTTAAACAATTTGATTTCCTACCAATTTTATCATGTACGAGTATCACGATTCTATCAATAGTCTATTTTATAAAAAGAATTCTTGAATATCGACAACAAAATATATCAACGCATCAACAAGAATTAGGGAATGAATGTATATTTATTGACGAGATATTATTAATAATCATGTATTTTTTTCTTCTACTTTCGTTAACAACGAAAACAGCTGTTGGCTATCATGATTATTTGAAATATACCGGCATTACCAAACCATTATCAAATATATTTTATGTACTCTTGTTTACTTCAGTATTGATAGCCATAGTTGGTGCTTGTATTGCTATCGGCCTTCAACTAATCGCTCATAAGAATGTTATTCTTATTTCACCAGCTCTTGACATTACAAGTTGTAAATTTTCCGAATCATATGTCTATTTTTTTATTACAATACCAATTTCAATATTTATTTTAATCAATATTCTCATGATTATTCTTGTTGCAAAACATATTGTACCGAATTCAGAAACATTAAAATTATCAATTATTCAAAAATCTAAACGTAGAAAACATGTTGTTCTACTTATATTGGCCAGTTGTGCTACACAAGGTATTGCTTGGCTAACGTGTTGTTGTATGTTTATGCCATTTCTAACAAAAATTCCATTACCAATATGTTTCATGCAATGGATAACTCTCATTTGTATTTGTATATCCGAAGGAATATGGACGATTATTGTTTATGCTATTATTCTAAAAAAAAAGCAAAAATGTAAATGTGAAAGTAAAGTGTCGTCTAAACCCTTACGGATAATCTCTACTGTAAATATTGAGAAATAAAATGAACTCATAGCGAATCTGTGGCGAACTCTAGTTTTTTATGATTAAGGCTAATATGTCCTCACTATTCATCCTCTTTGTTTACTCGTTTTGAACTAAGTTTATCACTTATTTAACTATACATACTTTTCATATTAAACGATATATTTAAGAATTTCAGTAAAACTCTTTTCAGTCAAACGAAAAACAATAAAATCTCATGTGTTTTCCAACGATTAAGCATAAGGACTCGATCTCTCTTCAAAATTCACAAGATGGTCAATGAATGATTATGGTGAACGTTCATCTCATCTATATCATGCTGTTAACACTATCAATATTTCTCGAACAGACTGATGTTGATCTAACATTGTTATGACTCGAAACTCATTACACTGACGAACAGTTCAACAAGTTTCGAACAAAGAATTCGAAATAAACTAAAATGTCCATTATTCTAACGCGTAGAAGGATTATGCAAATTATTTCAAAATATTAATAGCAATAGGAAGGCATATTACTAGGGGTGTTAATTTAGTTTTATTGTTCATTTATAATAATGGATAAAAGTAAATGAATCATTTATGCTTAAAAAATAAAGGTAAATTCGTCATTTATAGTTAAAAAATAAATATAAATAAATCAAAAAAAAATTTATCTTTATTTTATAAAAATAAATGATCCATTTATCTTTATTTTATAAAAGTAAATGATTTATTTTTATTTATTTATTTATTTCTACCTTTACTTTTAAAAATAAAGGTAGAAATAAATAAATAAATATAAATGAATCATTTGCTTTTATAAAATCAAGATAAATTTTTTTTGATTTATTTATCTTTATTTTTTAAGTGTAAATGATTCATTTACTTTTATCCATTATTATAAATGAACAATAAAACTAAATTAACACCCCTATTCATACAATGTATGCAGAAGTTTTCAGAGGTACACTTTGGCTTGCTTTGATGTTGGACACTAGCTAATCACCTATGCCTTGAAAAGACATCTCTAAATCACAGGGATGTTAACTGTTGGGTGCCCCAGATTTATTTTTTTCTAGCAAAAAGGATTTCTCTTTTTTTATTTCGATTTTGTGTTTTCACTAAACAAACAATTCGTTTGAGCGAGAGACAGAGAGAGAAAAGACGTAAATTAGGAAGAAAAGCGCAATTTTCAAAGAATCGAATGAAACTGGTTAGAGAAACTTCGAATTTTCAAGCATGTTATGGACTTGCTCGAAAATGTCACGGATCATCACTTAAATTTCATAGTAAGGAAAAGAAATTTTTAACAATTTATTTAACTCAATATCTCAATGTCATGTCGCAAAAAGACTTTGACAAAATCGATTAAAGTGCCATATTTGATATGATAACGAGTATTATCTTCAAGTTTGAGTGATCATCATCCGTATATTCATTGTCATGAGCAAAAAGCAGTACAATCCTATTGGGAATCTTTTACGGTGGCCCAGTTTTCCAAACTACTTTCAGAAAACTCTTACAAAAGCAATTTTAGTTATGAAAAAATGGTTCCAAGTCTTCTGTTACGAATGGTAAAAGCCGCAGGTTGATAGCTCGTTTCCTTCAAAAGATATACGCAAAACATCGGAGTTCGTTATTCGTTGAAACAGATAGTAATCTGACTGCATAATATTGGAAGAAATCCTGGTATTATTTAGAATACACAGATTAGAGATTATAAAAATACCGTGTATTATTTTATTATTATGCACGGTGCATGCTCTTAAAAATTTCACTTCAGATGCAACTGAAAATTACTGTCGAAATTCCGCTGGATTTTTGGCAATTGTCGAAGTTCATTGTAAATACGGCAAATTGTCGAAAATAATATCGATTTTCGACAATTGTCGAAACTGTTGGCGGCTGTTCTCTGTATATTCAACAATACTTCGAAATTCCGATGGTGAAATTCTATGATATCACAGCCATCCTCAGTGGCATAGAGACGAATCTATCCATTTTTAACCTCATAGACAAATTTCTTGTACTTGACATCAATTCGTAGTCTACGAATTCGTAAAAATAACGGCGAATTGAGGCGAGAACTATGCGAAGAGACGAACCTATCCTTTTAACCTGATAGAAAAATTACCACGGTGAGCAAACCGCGTTTTTGACACCGGGATTTGTTACGGAGAACCCGCGGTAAGACAAGAAAAAAACACGGTTTTATCCGAAAAGTTTTTCCGTCGGATATCAGGCCGAAAATAATGTATTATACAGAACACGAGTTGCAGCTGAGTTATTTTGCCCTAGACTTGATGAAATGATATAACATTGAATAATAACGATATCTGATCAATTGAAATAACATTTCTGTCACCACCATTTGCTTCTTTTCTTTTTCTTTTATGTTTGTACATAAACTGTCGTTATTATCTTTATAATATTAGAGAATAAAAAACGTACTGGAATTACGCTCTTAATGAACGGATCGTGAATGTGCTATTAGAAAAATCCACTGATATAGCACCAGGAAATATATTCGATGAATTGTAAAACAGAACTTGTCGATAAAACTATCAAGTCGAGTTTCAGATTTCATAGATAAAACTAGAAAATGAATTTGTAGGAGTGAAACATAAGTTAGTAGAAAAGACGGGAAAAGAAAATATATGCGTTGATTTGGCATCGAACGCAGGACAGCGCAGTTTACAGGCCATAGGTCCTACCGCTGAGCTACGGAGGAACGATTTAACACATGTTCTCAGTGCACATCAATAACATTTAACTATCCGTCTCTGATACTGACGCATTTGTATTGGCAGTACTACTACTCATTGTACTTGAGATAGGTCAATAAGTACGTCAGTACCTGCGACTAATAGTTCAGCGTCATTCATGTTAACTGAGAATATGTGTTAAATCGTTCCTCGGTAGCTCATCGGTAGAGTATATGGCCTGTAACTGCACTGTCCTGCGTTCGATGCCAAATCGATACCCAAACTTTTTTTTTCAGTCTTTGTCTATCAACAAACAGCGTAGATAACATACATTATTTGAGACATTTTTTTAAATAATGTTTAGTTATTTTTTTTTTCGGTTTTCCGCTGTTGTACAGCCAGTCCAATTAGATAGAATGGATCTGGTAATCTTTGGTCGTAAATACTAAGATCATAAACAGATGACAATGCTAATTCAAAACGTCTGCGGTATTCACCAACAATTATATTACCGCGTTGATCATACCATCTCATTGAAATTAATGAACGACCTTCGAATATAAAAGTTTGTTGTTGATAACCAACTAAATATTTTGAATAGAACCATTGAAATTGTTCACGTATATATCCTTCCTGCCATTGATTTGTCTGCGGATTTAATAATTGAAATGTTGCTTGATATAATGCCCATTGAAATTCTCCACTAATTCTAGCAACAATCCTATTACCGGCTTGACTCGCAACAATTGTTGCTCGATGTAATAAATTCAATTGTGTTTCAACACGATACAGTAATTGCTGTTCACGTTGATCATACACAGAAAATTCATTTGCTTTAAATAAATTAAATATATCTTTACGTATTACTAATTGTTTCGGATACGATTGTTGTTGGCTAGAAAATACGCCAAAGATTATTAACAAGAATACTTTCATCTTCTCAAGTAGAATAAAGATAATAATGACAGTGTATGTATACACGTAAAAGAAAAAGAAAATAAGCGCATGGTGACGGAAATGTTATTTCAATTGATCAGATATCGTTATTATTCGGTGTTATATCATTTCATCAAGTCTATGATAAAATAATTCAGCTGAAATACTCGTGCTCTGTATAATACAGTATTTTCCGCCTGATGTGTGAAAGAAATGAGTCACAGGGAAAGTATGAACTTTTATCCGACTCAGAGATACAGGCTGATATATATTAAAAATCTTAGAATTAATTCGACTTTAATTTAGCATAAACGATAATTATATAGCGCATTAAAAAAAGTAACTAGCAGGGAATAAGATAAATGAATTTTGTTTTACAACAGCTGTTTTCGTTACAGAAAATGTCAAACCTTGGAAAACTTGAACTGACACTTACTATGAGCACAGTCCGAGAGACTGTCTTTCTGTAACGTTTTAGTGATAGTTGTAATCGCAAGAAAACAAATTGTTTTGTTTTTTAAACAGAAGATGTTTGCAATGTACAAAGAACGCAATTCAATGTTTAACTAATTTCTGCTAATTTTTTTATTTACAGGCTGTACAACTTTTTAAGGCCCTCAGCATTCGCACACGAAAATGACATATCTAAGTATTTGATAATTTATTATGTCAAATGTAGACCGCTCTTCGCAAATTCTAGTTCATTTGCAAGAATGCAAAAAACTGGACAAAACGCAAAGGGAAACAGCAGAATTCCAAGCTGTTGACTCCCAGACCTATAGAAGCCTGGAGAGTCCTATACAAACTTCCCAAAGTTCGAAAAACTAGAGGAATCCCTGGGAGTATAAAAAAAATCGGAAAAAGGGATTAGAACCCGATGAAATTCCGAAAATCTGTAAAAATGACTGAAAATGGGGCTGAGCGGAAAAAAAGCTGGAAAATTCTAAAATAGTCAGGAAAATTCTTCGGGCTCAGTGAAGTCACGAAGAATACCAGGGAGTCTTAGGAGTACAACAAAATTTGAAAAAATTGATTGTCTGTGGAACGGAGCCTAGAGTACAAAAGTCACAAAATCTGGCGTTTCCCCTTGGACAAAATGACACAGAATTCGTCGTTCCAAAGTTAAAGCTGAATTTTAAAATTAAAATTTTTATAGTAAAAATTAGTTTTACTAGTTGACTTTCAGAGTACCAAAATATTACGTCTTTCAGGGAAAACATTTCTCTACAAAATGTTCTCTAAAGCTATACAACTCTTTTCTGGAACGAGTACAACGCAGTTAAAAACGGATGATAAGTATAGTTTATAGATTTCAATAATTGCTTATATTATCCGTAAATTTATTGTTAGCCAAACGTTTCGGCTTGGTAAAGCCTTTATCAATGGCACATAATAAGAAAACGGTCAAACAACTGAAAATAAAACTAA